ATCAGACATTTAACATCACCAACCAAATAAATAGAATGAAGCATCTGAATTTCCACATGAAACATTCCTTATTCAAGTGCCTTGTTTCTTCTTAGCACAGAAAGAGCAGAGGCTCAACGATACGTTACCAGGTCGTAAATAGTTTTACATTTACAATCCAAGATTCTGGAACAAATTTTGTTTAGCTTCATCCAAATATTTGTTGGACAGAAGTCAAAATGTCAGTAAATTCTACAGGAGGATGTAAGGATAGGTAACAGCAACTCCGGATCACCCAAGAAGGGCAGTGGTCCCAACCCAGTAACAGAGAAGGAATCACTTACCCCTTTCTGAGAATCAGGGCTTGCCCAACACTCCAAAGGCAGCATCTCCAAGCACAACAAGGAACATTTTTAAACCAGCAAAGACTGATTTAGTATATAATGGAATAACATTCCCTTTTAGCTGCCAGCCCTTAAATGAGGTTAGAGAGGGGCAGACCCTGGGCCCATCCCTTCTGGTTGCAATGATGAATTGCTTCCACCTGTGCTCCAAGGGCTGGCTACACCCCTGCACCAGGTGTTCAGTCTCTGGTTCAGGCCAGTGATCTAATGATCTCCATACAGAGGGAAACATCAATCTGAAACTGATGCTCTGGCCAGTTCAACACCATTTACTGCTCCACAGTGCTCTTGGTGAGGCATTTGCTATAGGATTACTTATTACTCCAAATAATTTTCTGACACATAGCCTGTTCTGCAGTGTCCCAGCACCAGCTGCAACAATCAGAACAGAAAACTCATATCTAGAAAACAAGCAGTAAAGATAAAGAAGCCACAAATTATTTCCTGAACTTTTAATATCTTAAGAACAAACTATGAAAATGTCTTAAGGAAAAAAAGGGGGCTTTCTCTTTTTATAATGGAATCTTACAAGAAGTCTTTGAACAACTCTGAAAACTTACAAAATATACTCAAGTGCTGATAAAACAGCATTTCTTTTATAATGTGCTTTTTCCCAGTCGCGGTAATGAAATGTATGCATATCAAAAGTGTCATTTGTATCACAAGAACAAACCGCTTTTCTCCATTGCAAGGAACAGTACAAGTATTTTAAGTCAATTTAACTGCAGTCTGGTAGAATAACAAAGCAACATTAAGAACAATGATTTATAAAGACAATACAGGGAATGCACACAAAACAGAACATCTATGAAGACTTCAGCTGCCACAGCTTAGTACGTGGAAGTGCTCAGCTCTTCACCCAGCTTTGTTTCACCGTCTGGTTGTACATTACTGACTTGGGATCAAGCAAAACTTAATAGTTTGCTTATCAAGCAAAACTTATTTGTTCCTGGTTACAGTTGAGAGCATAAACATATTCACTTCTTGGATGCCTGGCGTAAACTTCAGACATTACACCACAGTCAACAAGAAGGAACATTAAACGAGCACAGACAGATTTGGTACGTAATGGAATAAAAAGCAGTTCTGTTTTCTTCTGTTAACTTCACCACAGGAGTGATAACAAGCTGCAGCATCCCTAACTTATCCAGCTACTTGGACAGAGATTTTTCATCTGTAAATAGACAGCACACAGCTAGTACTTTCCCTTAGACTGAAGCAATTAATCTCTAATAAATTTCCTTCCCAATATCCCCGTATGCACACCAAGTCCAATTCCAACTATACATCTTACTAAATAAGAATATAAACTGGGTCTGTGCAGCTAGATAGGTAGTAAGCTTCCTACATAACACGTCAGGTAGGTCATTTTTTTTTTTTAAATATTAATTGCAGAAGCCAGATTTAAAAGCAGTGTATATTTAAATAGCACGAAAATAATCAATAGGAACAAAATGATCACAACATTGTCTCAGATATTCAAAATCTCCCACTCTGCATAGAAAAGAGCTCCAAAATTAGTATACAAATTAGAACTTGGATCCAAACATCCAGTAAGTATTTACTCCCAGAACAAGGTTATTAGGTACAAGTGTAAGTGTGTGTCCTGGCAAATGTGTTCAAAGTTTAAAGGTAAATGTCACAGGTGCACCCATCGCTACATTTCAAGAGACACCTGTTTGCTGTATGAAAGCAGACTGTAACACTACTGATGGAATGAAGAACAAACAAGAAAAGCACAGCACACCAGTCACAGTTCTACAGTGCTATATCAGAAACAGGCAAACTGAGGGTTCTCTTTTCAAATTCATAGAAGAAATGCAAAATATAAACCTTGTATATTCTGTTAATAAAGCAACCCTTTCTTCACTACATACAGACATAACAGTGCATTTACAGTATTTACAATTTTCAAGAATTCTGGATTTTTTACAATGCTTGCAGAAACCAAGTATTCTTCAGGTTGAAAACAGTTACACAGCAGCTTCAGAAACCACTCAGTATAGCAGCAGTTTCCAAAGCAAGTCAGGTTACCAATTCCAATGTACATCCCATGATGTAAAGAGTACCTTTAAATTACATAAAGCCACCCATTTCACCTAAGCATCCCATTATCTATAGGATAATCTCACACCAACCGCAAGTGTTTTATACAAGTTACAATCTGCTCATTTTCACAGTTTTCCAATTTAAGTAATAAAACTAAGTGAGCTGCAGTCCTAATGGCTGCTGCTGTCACTGCAACAGTATTAACAATTTCCCCTCATGTATTTTCATTAGCAAGCAAGTGTACTATCACATGTATAACTATATAAAAGCAGCTATATTCAGATGTACTTTATAAGTGCCCAAGTTAAGATGGGCAATCGTCTAGCCTGCACTCACAAAAACTATTCTATGAAAGCTGCTGTTTAAAGCAAGAAAAAAGTACAATAGCATGAATAAATATGGAAAATGTTAAAGGAACATGAAAACTGTAATAAAAATATGCAGACAAGGAAGGTAGTACTTGCGTTCAAAACTTCTTTTTCTAAGTTAAAAGTAATCAAAGAACCCGTTCTGAATAACAGCACTGAAAAGAAAAATTGAAGGCTTCACAGTAATACACATCTTTAGTGTCTTTTTTTATTATTATTACAATATTTCTTGAAAAAAATAACAGGGATTCAAAAATTGCAGACTTTAGATGGGAAGAATATTCCGTCCTTCACAGTGACAGAACTGACAGAGCAGACAGAAATGATGTTACTGACCTATTTCTTACACTACAAGACTTCAAAATGAAAACTGCGGCTGAAGTCCTTCACATGTATTTGACAAGAGTTGTTGGCACTGAAGTTCTGAGTTATTCAGTATTCCCTAAATATGGATCAATATAAATTAACAACCACCAAATTCTGAGATGCTTAACTCAAAAGAAAACCTGACAAGACACAGTCCTTCCATATCAATGAAGGTAACACTAGCTTTCCAACAGACTATTTGAGAGATTATACACTCACAGGCTGTATTTGCAACTTTCACAAAGAGCAGAAATCATTGCCAATCCTCACAAGCCTCTTATAACCAGGAGCAGGTAGCTCTGAGAATTCTATATACATGTCGCGAGCATCTTCTTCAAAAGAGCTAAGATGCTACTGTAAAAACAGGCCTGTTCAAATTGAAGCAGTTACACGTTTGGTCAGAACTATACAATAAGAGAATTTTGTGTTCAAAGTTTCTGCATTACATACAAAAAGTCTGTAAGTGGCAGCACAGCTGCACGTAAGGCATTTTAGGAATGATTCCAACACAGCTCATTACCTCCAGCATTTCCTTAGGTTTGACTCCTTCAGCATTTCATTACATTCAACTAACATGAGCAACCCGTTACATTTTCAGATCATTTATTATTAAAGCCACGGCCACTGGGATTGAGCCTGAGACATCCGCAGACCTTCCATAATGACAGATGCAACACGAAGATTGAGCACAGCCCACACTCAGAGCAGCCAACTGAACAGCTAGCTTCATGACGTGGAATGAGAGGTCACTGCCCGTAGTCAATCCTCACTAGTTGGCCCAGTCCTGAAAGCGGAAACAGTCACTCGCGATCTTCCACACCGTGCTGTTAGATGTGGCTTGTGCTGTCAGCAAGAAGTTCTGGTTGAAGTAGCGCTGCTTGTTGCCATCAAATTTTACTGTCCCACAAGTCACCACGAGGACTGTTGTCTGGCTTTGAGTAGCTTGCTCTTCACATGAAGAAAAAACAAAGAAAACAACCCAAACAAAGACTAACAGGTGAAAGAAGTAGGAAAGGCACATATTTTATTCAATTCTGTTACACTAGTTACAGGCTAGCAGTTGGTTACACATCCGTGAAAAATACAGCTTTCTTACATCACTTCCATATAGACAATGGTGTATTCACTCGCCAACAGCACTTTTCAATGGGTTTTACGTTTCCATCTAATGTTGTTCATTTGAGAGCACTATAAAAATCCTCCACATTTCTTTTCAGAAAAAGCTCTCTTTGTTTGATACGTGTATATATCTAGCAAGTTGCATTTTCCTCTCCTTCCTCTATTAGCTTGTATCCTTTCACAGCAAAGGAAAGCAAGCATGCTTGACCACAGGCTTTTGCCTTACTTATACTCCAGAAATATTCCTCAGAAGTAATTTATTAACTTCTCAATTATGTAAGCATTTCTTTACCAATTGCTAATTAGAATTCAAATGAACTTAACATCTATTCAAGATGTAAAGAAGTCACATACAGATTAACGATCTGTCCCACATTCTATTGCATGACAGTACCAGAGGCTACAGCAGAGGTCTCTCACACACTGTCAAGGACAACATCATCTGTTAAGCTCAACCTTTTCAATACATGAGAATGCAACACATCTGAACACAGTCTTAACAAAAAAAAAAAAACCATTTTCCCAGACATAAGGTATAGTGTGGAGTTGCTGCACCTCTTGGTTTTGTGCTTTGTTTATGCACATCTTTACCTTCCAACCCTCAATATTTTCACTAATAAGATAGTCCCTAGAGAGATACTGAGCACTGTTATGTTGTATTTCTCTATCAATAGTTATAAAATGACTAAATAAATAAATAGTAATAGAAGCTTACCATGAACAGGCTGGCAGTCCAGCACATTAACCTGGAATTCACTGGATGGCAACATTTCAAAAAACTCATTCAGTGCCTCTTGTCCAGAGACTGCGTTTCCATTCCAAATTAATGTTGCTTTGTCCAAATACAGCCTGGTCAGAGCCTGAGGGATTACAAACAGACATATTTGGGGACAAAGGGTAAGCACATACAGTGCACAACATCTCAACATAGGAGTTGAAACAATGTTTTGTATTGCTGATTACTTCTGTTCCCCGAGGAAATAAAATGCCCTCCTCAATTATTAACTTCTAAAAAACAGTGGTCCTGAACAAGAATTGAAGTAGAAGCATATTTTGCTTTATGATTTGCAAAGTGACTGTACCTCTAAATCTAAATACTGATGACATTTCCTAATGATGCAACTGAGCTGCTTGCTAATGAAAGGAAAGTACTACCTTTGCAGAATAAGTTCATCACTGATTTTGTGCACACACATGAAATACCAGTAGTCAGAAAGTATGATTTCAGGTAAAAAGAAATGAGACTGGGAGCAGTGAAACCATGCAAGAGGACAATTATGTGCAGCAGGAGAGCAGAACCTCCCCAATATTTCATAAGCTGTAGCTTATGGGCAACTACCTCTCATGGAAGCTGTTGCTACATCTGTGCCTATCCTGCTTGAGCACAATATGACCAAGCAGTAATATGCAACTGCTGATACTTTCATGTTCACCTACATTTTTTAAATTACAATTATAATACACTATACCTCAGAGGTCAGCTAACAAATCCTGTACCTCTAACATGTATCTGGATTTGAACTGAACTTGAACTGAACCTGCTGAAGAACAGTGAAGTAATTTCTAACAAGGCTCCCTTCCAAATGATGCTGTGCAGTAACACAAAGCAATCCTTTACAGGGCAGCTTAGGAGGCCAAGATGAGACCTCTGTTCCAATGCAATTCACAATAACCAACTTCAAGTTTAAGTACTTGAAGTACTTACTTTCAAGTGTAATGGTAGCTAGAAAAGCACATGAAGCTATTCAAAATAGTTCAAAGTATTGGTAAAACATGTACATACCCTTCTTCTTTTATCCATAGTCTCATAATAAATGTTGACAAATTCTTCTGCAGCTCTGCAGGCTTGATCCACATAGGTTTTGAAATCCTGGAGGTAAAAAAAAAAAGACAAAAAGCTTAAGTATTTTTTCATTTTATATTTTATTATGATATACTATATTATTATTTATATTCTACTCAAACTAGCCATCTAAGCAGTAGCTCCAACTAGTGAGCAGCCAAAATCACTGTATTCTCCACTCTCACCGAAAGATGATGTCAAGCAATGCTGAAACTGATTGCAAACTGCTTTTCTACTTCCTGGAAGTATCTCATTAGCTTCCAGCAAGGCGCCAATCTTAGGACTTGTCTCTGAATGCTGGTTTATTTATTGTATTGAAATTGAAAATGGTTACATCGGAAAATGGGCTCCAGCTAGTTGAAGCATTGTGAACACACGAGCATTCAGTGAAAAGATCTGCTGCTTTCTGTGATGGATGTTCTGAATTAAAGGAACAAAATATATCCAACATGTTGCTGAAAATGAACAAGAACTCCATCACACCACCACCACACTAGATTTTTTTAAACCAAATTCATAGGCGTATTTTAAAGTATCTCTATAGAAAGAGAGATATATATACAGTCACACATAGATACATGCAAAAGAAATAATAGTTCTACTTGGACATATAGCAGGGAGAGAGTGCCCACTAGCATGCTGAACACATTCTTCTATTAATCACTTCAGTTCTGCATCCACAAGAACTAAGCGTCTCTCACATCTTTTTTTAACCATCTGATGTCACAGTGCTGCACTGGAATCTCATGTAGTAATTTACTCAGTTTGTTCACCTGAACAGCAATATCTCAATTTCCTGCCTATAGACCTATGAGAACTACTCCAAAAGCAATGCCTCCTATTTTGTGATGTTGGTCCGCCATGTCAGAGGTGGATGGTGGGAGGACAGCAGCAGAGGCTGAACCTTCCCACCAATATCCCCTTCCATTTTGTTGCTTTGTGACAGATGGCAGCAGAGGGGCAGCCTGACAGCATGGTGACTGACACGGAAGTGAGGATGAAGCAAAGGAGTGGAACTGAATTCTTCCATGTGGAAGACATGGCACCTACTGCCACTCATCAGCGCTTGCTGAATGTTTCTGGAGACCAAACAGTGGGTGTGAGCACAGTGAGGGGTGGGCAGTGCATTGCAACAGTGGTGGCAGTGACAGCTCAGCATGTAGGCTCCTGTTCATCACTAGTGAAAAAGCACAGCTAGCAGTGGTGACTGTGGTGGAAAACAGTGTTTTGTAGCTGAAAATTTGTTCAATCAGACAGTGCTATTGTGCTCTTTGTGTATATTGTAGTTCCCATGAAAACACATAGGAGGCAATACTTTCAGAGCAAGCTACTTGTAATCTTTAATTTGGTTTTGTAATGATGTTTTGTTTAAGATGTTACAGTTTCTCATTCTTCTAGTTCAACATTACATTCTCAGCATTTATTAATTCCATCAGTACATCACAACTACAATATTTTTCTTGGTGGTCTTTAATGAATATATACCAGAACTATCACCAGTTCCTACAGTATTACCCCAAGAAACACTTTTACTTGGAGAAATTTCCATGCTGCAAAATATTCACCAGCATATCAAATAATCTCTGCTTACTCTACAGGGACAAAGTGTTTTTCATTACTACTTTTCTTAATTCCCTGTGGAAGGACATGACTCTGTTCTTCACCTTTCCATCACCTCCAACAGTTTGTGAACCCAGAGGCCAATTCTCAAGCCAAAGGGACATAGCAGTCATCAAGGCACTGTATTCCTGCAAGTGCCAACAGAAACTGTGGCACTGTGAGATAAGGAGTGTCAGAGCACCCACTGGAGAGCAGTAATCATAACCTGGCTGGTTAGTTATTTGGGGCAGAAGGCTGTTATCACTCCATCAGCATGCATCTGCGCACACATGCTTTCTAACCAGGAGCCAAACATACTGCCAGTTAGTCACTGCACACACAGAACAGGTGTGATGGAGACCAACAGAGGAAATGCCAGGGTAAAGCAAAGAGCAGTTAGGGAACCTGTAACGTATAATCATAGAATCTTTAGAGTTGGAAGGGACCTCTGAGGGCCATGTGGTCCAACTTCCTGAAATGAACAGGGACACCACAGCTAGATCAGGGCCTTATTCAGTCTCACCTTGAAAGTCTCTGGGGACTTCATAGGGATTTAAATCAAACAGAAAATAAGCTGCATAAGTTTTGAAACTCAGGACAAGTTCTTTTTAATGGTAACCCTGTACACATATTTAGAAACCTCCTCAGACATCTGATCTGGCCTCTCACTCAAAGGTCAGCTCTGAGGTCTGATCTTGCTTCCAAGACAGGCCTGATTACTTGGAGTCCTAGCTCTAATCACATTTTGAACATCTCTAAGGATGGAGATTTCAATTTCTCACTGCTCCCATTCCAACACCCAACCACCTCACAGGGAAATCATTCTTCTAGTCATTTAACAAGAACGTGATACTCGAATCACTACTTTTTTTGAAGACTCTGATGACAATTCCCAAACGTTAGTTTCCCCTTTCATCCTCTACCATCTATTCAGGGCCCGAAGCCCTTCAGCCACAGACCGCTCAGGCACCCTATAACTCACAAGCGCACGGCCTCGAGCACAGAGCCTCAGGCGGCCGCGGGCCCCGAACCCCGCGTGCCCACGTTGAGGGCGGGACGGGGGAGGAGCCGGCCTCCGGCCGACGGCAGCCAGCGCCGCTCGGGCAACGCGAACAGCCGAGGAGCAGAGACCGCCCGCCGGGAGCAGCTGCCCGCCGTCCCTCTCTCCCTCCCGCCGCCGCCCGCCCCACGCGGGAATCCCTCATTTCAGAAGCGCAGCGCCCGGGACGGAGAACGCCAGGCGGAACCGCGCTCCGCTCCGGGCCGCCTCCGTGCGAGGCCGCAGCTCCCCGCCTCACAGCCGTGGCCCTGAGCGGCGGCTCCTCCCGCTCCGCCGCGAGGACCCCGCAGCGGTAGCCGAGCCCTAGCCTCAGCCCAGGCTGTCCGTGGCGCGGCGGGGGGCGCGAGGACTTACCACAGAGGCGGCCATGAGGCGGCAGCAGGCGCTCCAGGCCCCTCCCGGCGCGAGGCGGGCGGCGGAAGTGCGCTGCGATCAACGGCCGCCACTTCCGGCCGCGCTCCGCCAAGAGCGCTTCCGGCTCGCCGCTCGCTGCCTGTGGCGCCTCCGGTTCGAGACCGCAGCGGTCACGGCCGCCTGACCGTTGCGAAGAACCGAACGCGGTTCAAGTGCAGAGTGGCGTAGGGCATGGCTAAAACGGCTCCGCTGTGGTTAATTTGGTGATCTTTCCCTGCTGCCCCTTATTGCGGCTGGAGGGCTGCGGATGTAAAGCCGGGTCGCTGTAGGAGCGCGCTGTGTTTTTCCACCTGTTTCAGATCTGCTCCCGCTCCCCCTCGCGCGCCCCTCGGGGACTGCTGGGCAGCGGACGGGAATTTGGGTCAGGGCATCTGAGGCCGTGCCCTTTGGTAGATTGAATCGCGTCCAGCAGCGTCAGCTGCGTGCTCGTTTGTCATTGCTGTGTGGGAGTTGTAACGCTGAGAAACAACGTGACCCGCCGGATTAACATCTGCTCCCTGAAGATTGCTTAACAGAAAAGTTCGGACGTCTTCCCGTTTGAAATCTCCAGTCTGTCGCCGTGTCACTACACCACCACGTTACTTCTTTGCTTCAAATTGATAGGAGTGCTTCATAATATCTCTCTCGTGCATATATAAAGAAGTATCAATTTCCAAATAGAAAAGCAAGGTGTTGGAATGATACGTGATTTGTTCCAGGTCACAAAGGGAGACAACTGCAGAACCAAAAGCTGTAATCCTAATCTTTTATCTTCACCACATAAATATCCTTGCTATGTTGGAAATATTGGTGTTAAACTAAGGATCACCCCTATCTGTTATCTTCATTCACTATTTCCTGTTTATTTTTTTCATACGGGTGCCAATGTGTCCGAAAAGCACAAAGCTGTGTTCCTTTTCTGTGGATTCAATTTGTAGGAAATGACCACTATAAATCCCAATGGAGCAAAGGAATTACATTTGTGTTATTACAGAGACCGTGAATTGCCTGCACAGAACAACAGAGCTGTGACAAATGCTTATTTGTATTACCCCCTCATTTACTCATATGCACCTGTGGAGCCTGGAACAGGCTGAGCAAAGCTTTTCTGCTGGCAGACTATGTGCAGTTTTCCATCTTTCAAACACACTGAGAAGAAGATTTTTTAATCTCTTATTTATCAGTGTCTTCTCCAGTAAAATAAGTAACACATAAGGAATAAAACCAGAAATAGTAAGAACTGAAGAAGCTAATTTGTTCAAACAATCTTTCTGTCAGGCCAGGATTTCTGTCTACAGATACGCTTTTTTTTCATTCACAAACACTTCATAATCACTGGAGGTAGGATCAGAATCCTACTTCTCCAGCAGGATTCACTACAGACTTTCCTCTGCAAGGTAAGGAGGTGGATAACTCAGAGATTCCCCATCTTGCTGCCTGCCTGCCTGCCTTAGCACCAGTCATTACTCAGGAAGTAAAGTGTCAAATCATAGATGCACATGGGTGTGAAATTCATTCTCAGCTTCTTCTAAAGATGACATAAAATTCTGGATATTATGTTAGAGCAATGACTTCATGTTGGGACCATCTAATTGGGGAAAGCAAGAAGAAAATTCTTTCCTAACATCAAGCTGTATGCGAGACATCACTGTGAGAGCAGCACACAGTGGCCAAAATGTATTTAGTTCTACACAGAGACCAAGAAACAGAAATCCACCACTACAATATGTAAAAAGTAAAAGCAGTAGCAAGAAATGTAAAATGTTTGCAGGCAGTATGTAACTCCTCAAAGACATATTAGAAATATGAGATACTCAGAACAAACGAGTATCACTTAAAGAAATACTTCTGGAAAGATCAAAAGAGTCCAGAATACTTAATAACAAGGTAACAATAGAAAGTTAGAAGCACAGAGACATCCTCCAAAAAAAAAAAGGAAAATGTTTTCAAATGAACAGGGGGGAAAATGTAGTTTGGCTAGTGAGGTTTAACAAGAAAGCAAGGCAAATCAAAATAGTTCTGAGAAACATTTTACTAAGGCAGAAACACTATGAATGAAATCCTTTTTCAAACACATCAAAAGCACGAAGTTCTGCCAGAAATCTGCAAGGCCAATGAGCAAACAGTGTGCACCAAAAGAAGACAAGGCTGTAGTAGAAAATTAAACAAACTCTTCATGTCTTTGATCAATACAAATAAGTTTATAAAGTATCTTATATTTCAACCCTTCTTAAAAGGGAAAAAAATGGAGGATGTGTTGTGAAGTGAAATGTCAGTACAAAAGGTTTTAGAACAAATCCATAAAACAAATAGTAACTAATTGTCAAGTTGTGTGCCAGTTTACGTGCATACTAACCATGATGGCATGTAATCTCCAATTTACAAGAGGCTCTGTCCTCAAGGAATAGAAAGCTGCAAATTTGGGGCTGGTTTTCTGTGAAAAGCTCCAAAATGGATCTTCAGAACAATGGACCAGTAAATCTAATGTTTGCCCTACAAAAATTGGTAGAAACTGTAACAAAGAAGGAACAAAGAAGGTAGGTATTTGATTAAACATGACATATTAGAGCAGACTCAACATGGTTATTTAGGGAAAAGTTATGTTTCACAAATCTATCAGTTCTTCAAAATACCCAAGAATCATATGGAGGCAGAGCCTTGCTACTGAGCAGTTCTTCTACTACGTGATTTCCTTAAACTCTGAGATTTTGCTAATCCATGGTTCTAGAATTATCATACTTGGAAGCAACTAAATAGTTTTAATATGAAATTTTTATTTAACTGTTCAAGTCCAACTACCAATCCAAGTTATGTTAGCAGAATAGTAAGACTCTGCTTATCATCTCTCACTTTTTTATTCAACACACAGTAGATAGGTTTGTAGTATTTTTGCTGGAGTTTTTGATGATTAACAAAAATTAGACTGCCAGAACACTCAGCTAAATCTGTCTTCCTGAAAATACATTTTCCTTACTCAGAAAGTATCATTTGCAAAGGAAACAAAACACTTTATCTACCTCCTTCAGGTACTTTTCCTTGAGCAAGCCTTCAATTTTGGTGTTTATGTCTTCCACTAGTATGGGCAGGCATAATTTCCATTTTCTGTCTATACTGTATATTATCCAAATATTCCCTAAATAGGCATTTGAATGTAGTTCAAGTAACAACCAAGTATAACTTCTCTTCAAAAGCCCAGTTATATTCCTAAGAGTTTCTCAGCCTTTGTCTCCACTCCTGTACCTCCAGCCAACCCAACCACACACCCCAACCTTTTCTGTTCTGGAAAGAATGCATAAGGTACAAATGCCAGAATGATTCACCAACGATGATGCTGAAGTGCTATGTGGAGGTCAAGCAGTTTACAGCAAGATGATTCACCAAAATATATCTGAAGATGATTTGTAGAATATGCAACTGTACTTACCACGTGGAAGGGACTTAGTGTAGGTCTTACAGACCAAATCAGCAGTAAAGGTTTAACTGTAAAAGTAGCTGGGATCAGCTATTACAACTGTGAATTAGACATATGGGGTGTTTTTCATTCTGTAATCAATAATAATAACAATTAAAACCAGTTTTTGTTGGAAAGTTTCCCAAATAGCTCATACCGAGAGCAATGAATTAAAACTGTGCTCACAAGTAAATGGCAAATGGGATGACATGCATATAGCACAGATACCTGTGTGGAGATACGAAGTAGCTTTAAGAGGTGACTGCTTTGTAACTTCAGTCAAATTTACTCAAAATATCGTAATTAATGATAACTAAAAATGTATTAAGTTTACAAAAAAGTATTCAGCCATCTGTGTTCTAACAGTTGTTGATTTTTTTTTCCCCATCATTTGATACTCTGTTAATTAAAAGTGTTAGCAAACTTTTGGATGATTTCAGAATCATTGAAAAAAATAATTTTTATTGTAAATTATTTTGATACTAGGTGAGTAATGACCACAGGATGAATGCAGAATTCATTTTTTCCCATAATATCCTCACATGAGAACATTATGCATTGGCACGTATGCAAAAATGAAACCAGACTGCATAGTGCAAGGCTACTTTGCAAAGTAAACTTGTACCGTGACATGGAAAATGGTGAGTTTTCTGCAACGACTTCAGTAACGTGCTAAGATGAGGTCAATAGGTCCTAATTACCCCAGTAAAATGAACAGTCCTTAGTTTTGTAAAAAATCTTAACGTGTTTGTATTTTTCATGGTTTATAATTCATTTGCCTTTAAGATTACATAATAAACACTGGCAAAACTTGAAATAGCATATTCTCTATTTACAAAGGACAACAAACTGCAATGCTTTTTAATTTATTGATTTAAAGAATGTATGTAATATTACTGAATCATAAACACACTTGAACTTGGCAGGTTCAAAATGTTACTGCAAGAAATGCATGCTGAAGGGCAAATTCAGGAGGAAGCACAAGGCAGCATTCTTGCAAATTACAATAACTATTCTACTCAAATTAAAAAAGAAAAGAGACCAAGCAGTGATCCATGACCAATATCGGCGATTAAAATTAAACTGGTAGGTTCACTTTCTCATTTGGAGTGGTTTATCAACCTTCCTTGATTGAATGCCACATACAACATCCTTGTTAACAAAGTCCAATTACAGCTCAAAGATTTAGCAGGTACAGCGATGTTTACCAGAAGGATTCCCTCAAGGTCAGTGATTCACGCAGCACTGCAGCTTCACATTGGTAAAGCAGTACATTTAAAAGCTCTCATGCAACACAAAGGCATGCTGTTCTCTATGACCTTGCATCTTTCTGAGCAATGACTGATTCTTTTAAAACATGGTACTCAAAACTTTTGTTATTTGAAGTTATCAAAACGCATAAGTAATTGTAGCCGTGTGTACATAAGTTCAAAGAACTACCTCTTAAAACAAGAGAAGCAACTGACACTAGCCAAATCCAGACAGACTGTGCTTGATGTGATGCCTACAAAGTTGGATGACGACTCATTGTTTTGCCTGAGCAAGAGCTGAATGAGAACACAACAACTGGATCCACTGATTTCAGTGGGGAGTTGATCTCAGGTGCTCGGCACATTCACGCTTTGACCTTTGTGTTGGATAAAAAACTACTGCTAAAGCTGGATTTGGGATTATTAAATCACAGCAAACTTAAGAAGCTCAGTTCATTCTCAACAAAAAAAGAAATATTATTTCTCTGGATAAACACAGGCAGAACTTGTGTTTGTTACAGTCCCAGGAGGACTCTGAACTATGCACTGCTCCACCTCAAATTCCTGTCATACCAGAACTGGTAGAATGTAATTACACTTATCCCAGTGAACAACCCTCTTGTCTTTTAAAGAAAAACATGTCTTGCAGTATATAGAACTGATAACCATTGGGCAGACCCACTGGGATATACAGAGAGATCGATTACAAATTACTATTTGAATGCAATCCATGTCAAAGCACTCCCAAGGGTGTGTAATCAGAACAGGTCAGTTCAATGTGTCATCATGGTCGATAGAAGAAATTTTAAAATCCTATCCATTTCATTAGGTAATGAAACGCTACATGAGCCCTTATGAAAATCCAGCTGCATGTAAGTAAAAGTTGGTAAACCTGTCTGCGTTATAATGGACTCCACAATAGTTCAAGGTAGCAAGCTGATAACTAAAATCTGTGTATGTACCCATAGGTGTATTTGTATACTAGACAGAAGGGCCTGTAGCCTTACCTTTCAGACTTGTCAGGTAGTTCTCTTTGCACTTGTCCTTTTATCTCAAAATTTCAAACTGAAATTCTGACAGTGGCTGCAGCAGTATATTGTATCACTTTGCAGTGTAGCACCAGCTCACAGTTGTGTCCTGCATACACAAAACAACATTGCAAATATCTGTTACCAACACATGTGAATCATATAATGCATTGTACCATACACATCAGCTGACAAGAGGATTTTACAAACATCACTTGCAGCACACAGCCATAGTTTATTTTAACTTGGGTGCAGCAGAACCAGTACAATCCATAATCATTTCTCATCAGGGGCTGCAAGCACTGCAGGTGCAATAGGCTGCCTGGTCCTTTTTCATGTCTCATCTAGTATTCCTCAGTTTTTGATAACACCTGGGAAGAAGTGAACCTCATTTTCTCCTTTTACATAAATTGCCCTAAAGTAGCCAGACCATGTTTTGGGGAAAAACTCTGTGTCTACTGGGAATCGTGTGTGCTTTTGGAGCACTGGTATAATAAGCCCAGTTCTAGACCTCACTCTACAAGACATTTATTAGGCTCAAAGATGAAAGAAGAGCACATCAATTTAGTATGCAGATAGCATTCTGTTTTCCAGACTTACAGAAAACTAGAAGGAAAAATATTAGCTACAACACAATTTTTTAACCCGTTCTAAATAGCACTATGGGTCTGTCAGGATCTGAAAGAAAGGCACTGCCCATCTCTTTCCCTTCCTTCTGTCCCTGATGGAGTATCTGATATTTATCCCTTTTATGTGTGTTTATAAATCCTAAACAGCCTGAGTACTATTACATGTCACAAAAAATTTACTCATAAATCACACTATTCCCAGTTTGTTCCATGTTGCTTCATTCGTGGAAAATCTGGTTCTATAGGTAGGCAAATTCATATGAAACTCTAACTCTGCTTAACAGGAAAGTTAAGAAATTTCTCCAAAAAGATTGATGTTCTTCAACTAGAAACAGAATCACAGAATCATAGAATCAATCAGTCAACAAAACAAACAAACAGACCCTGCTTATATATTAGTTCTACATTCCACATATGATTTCTTAAATCCAAACGTGTTTTTTGGAGCCAGTGTAATTCTTGGAGGCAACAGGAGGCTTTTAATATTAGAATGAACCTAAGGAAAGAGCTAATGCAAGCATCAGGTTTAGGTTATCTCAATAGATGTGCAAAGATTTTTTTTAACAGGCACTTTGCTGTCATGTTTTTGTGGCTTTAGCTAAGTTTGTCTCTGCTTTTAATTTACTTTCCTTCTGAGGTTCACAGGAAAGTTATAAAGGCTGTATAAATAGAAATAATCAGAATTGTTTCTGATAAACACTTCCATGTTTTGATATTTCTTTTCTGTAGAGTGAGTGTATAATCCAAATGCAAAGAAATCCGTATTAAATGTGACATCCTTCAACATGTTTTACTGCTAGTATCTGAGTTTCCACTAGAAAAGGCCGAAAATACCAAACCTGTGCAATCTGGATCTGGGGCTGTTGTGCAATCCAACTCTGCAAAGCCTTCCAAAGTTCCACCTTCTTCTCAGTAATTCTGCTGTGTTTTTCAAAAGGCTGGGAAGTGAACTATTACCTGTTTTCATGACCTAAAGGATTCCTTGGG